CTTTTGATGTGAATCATTTCAGACATCAATCTCTTATTGTAAGACGATTCAATGTCTAAAATTTGGACATCATCCCATTTAAAATTGTGGTCAAAGTTAATACGATGGTCAGTAATAACAGAAGGAGAACCTGTTCTTTTTCTAATATCAGACATATGTTCTTTTAGTCCAGTACCAAGTTTTCTTTTAGTCTGACCAACGTAGCTGGCTTCACAATCATCAAAGGTAATCTTATAAATAACATTGTTATTAGAACAACGTTCTAATTTATCTTTACCTCTTTTAATAAAACTTTTTAAGGTGTTAGGAATTGAAAAGGCTAATTTACACTGAAACTTGCTGGAAATGGGAAGGAAGCTTTCAGATATAGATTTAACGTAAGGTATTGTGAAATATTTATCTTTCACATGAAAATTATGAGTATTCTGTTGATTATGTATGTGATATTTAATTCTTTGATCAATAGTGGAGAATATAAGGGAAAGAGGATAGGAATTGTTTAAAAAAATTTTTATGGCTTCAGTTATATTCTTTTGTTGGAACCGAGGATGTGATAAAAGTAAAATCTTGTCAATAAAACTAATAATAATGCCTTTTTTATGATTCATAGGATGGTTTGAGTGGAAATTAAGGAATCTACCTGAGAATGTTTTTTTGTGAAAATTGTCAAAAATAATTCTGCAATTATCAACAATAATTATAATTACAGAATAGGCCTATAGGACCGAAATTCTCTAATAGTAGGCCTATTCTGTAACTTTTTAACGACAATTTTACTAACTAGGGATGTCGTTGCGCAGATATTTTACATGGTATAAAATCTGGGTATCGTACTTGTGTAAAATCTCGAATCACGCGAGAATTATTAACGGACCGCACTATTGCTCCAATAAGTATTGTTCATCTGAAATAAGAGCTTTCGCATCCTTAGACTTATTTAGGAGAACGCGACGAAGTTGTGCCGACACTTAAAAGTACGGTCACATAGTATATTTTTACACGAGACGATGTGAATCACAGATATCCAGTAATCAACAATCAAACTATCTCTATAGTATAACCAAATATAACTGAGCATAACCTTTAACCATAATTACAGAATAGGCCTATAGGACCGAAATTCTCTAATAGTAGGCCTATTCTATAACTTTTTAACGACAATTTTACTAACTAGGGATGTCGTTGCGCAGATATTTTACATGGTATAAAACCTGGGTATCGATCATGAAACTTTTTCCCTAGGATGAAAAGTGAAAAGTAAAAAATTTCTCCATTAACTTCAATGGTAAAAATGTCCACTTTTCACTTTTCATCCTAGGAAAAAAGTTTCATGATCGACACCCTGCGCATCGACAGTAGTAACGATACCGAATTGTCGTTACAAGTTACAGAATAGGCCCTGAGGCCCTATTTTGTAACTCGTTAAGCAGTTAACGACATCGTTGCGCAGCTTTTTATACCATAAGATATCTGCGCAACGATGTCGTTAAAGGTTGGATTATACTGGCCGTAATCTGTTAACTTATGCTGTAATCTATAAAAATTGACCAATTATAATCGATTATTCCCCTCTCATTCGACTGTGATTGGTCAATTTTTA